TGTAACTTGTTTGTATCAAATATTTCTTGACAGATTCTTAATGCAAGCTTACTGTAAGAATTCTCTTTGAGGTGATGGATGGTCAAGAGAAAAACCTGAGTTATATTTAATAGAATGAATGCAATACCATGTATTTTGGTGGAGATTATCTATCCATCTTATATGGAAATGGTTTTGTGAATGCATGATAAATCTTGATACAATCCTTAACAGAGTTGGGCCCACTACCTCCCATGAGCACCTCTCTAAATCCTTCACTTAAAACATTACTATACCTTTCACAACACTATTAGGAAGAAATACAGCAGTAATGCTGCCACCAGCCACTTCCCTGGAGACATTTCTCACTGTTTTGGTTTACTCTGGACGTTGCAAGCAGCAATTTTCCTTTCATCAGTAACTTGCCCATAGAAGAAAAATGTGATTAGCATCAGGAATTCAAGTATTTATTATGTATATCAAGATTAAAGAAGTACAAGAAAGTTAAAAAGGCACATAAATAACAAAAAGACATGAACAATAAATATAGGAAAAGGTTGAGATTCTAATACAGAAGATTCTAATACAGAAAAAAGCCAATGCATTCCTAGATTGCATCAATCAAAGACTATTGCCAAGAGAAGTAACTGTTCATTTACTGCATATGTACTTTGTATGGTTATGTATAGCCAGCAATGGACACCACATTTTAGAAAGGGCATTATTAAATTAGAATGTGACTAGAGGGGGCAACCAAGATAATAAGGTACCTGGAAGGAAAATTATACCAAGAACAGTTAGAGGCAATAGGTTTGCTTAGTTTGAAAAAGAGAAGAAGACATGGAAATCTACTACTACTACTACTACTACTACTAATAATAATAATAATAATAATAAAGTTGTTGATAACAATTGTCGATAAGAAAGACAAAAAAGTCTGGATAGTGGACTTGGCAGTGCCTGGAGACAGCAGAATAGACGAGAAAGAACAGGAGAAGATAACAAAATAGAAAGACCTACAAATAGAAATAGAAAGACTGTGGCAAAAGCAAGCAAGGGTAGTACCAATAGTAATAGGCTCCTTGGGTGCAATCCCAAAACAACTGGAGCACCATTGGCATTGACAAATTCGCTATTAGTCAATTGCAAAAGGTGGCCTTACTAGGAACTGCTTCCATCCTGCGACGATATCTATAATACCATCAAACATCCACATCTGCCTATCCCGGGTCCTGGGTAAGGACTCGATAGGTAGACAAAATGCCAAATCCAGTCTGAACATCTGGCTGACTGCGATGATCCATAATAAAGTTGGAAGGGACCTTGGAGGTCATCAAGTCCAACCCCCTGCTCAGGCAGGTAATCCTACACCATTTCGGACAAATGGCTGTCCAGTTTCTTCTTCAAAACTTCCAGTATTGGAGCATTTACTGCTTCTGGAGGCAGGTTGTTCCACTGGTTAATTGTTCTAACCGTCAGGAAGTTTCTCCTTAGTTCTAGGTTGCTTCTCTCTTTGGTTAGTTTCCATCCATTGCTTCTTGTCCTACCTTCAGGCGCTTGACTCCCTCTTCTTTGTGGCAGCCCCTAAGATATTGGAACACTGCTATCATGTCCCCCTCGTCCTTCTCTTCATTAAACTAGACATACCCAATTCCAGCAACCATCCCTTATATGTTTTAGTCTCCAGTCACCTAATCATCTTTGTTGCTCTTTTCTGTATTCTTTCTAGAGTCTCAACATCTTTTTTACATCGTGGTGACCAAAACTGGATGCAGTATTCCAAGTGTGGCCTTACCAAGGCATTGTAAAGTAGTAGTAATACTTCACATGGTCTTGATTCTATCCCTCTGTTAATGTGTTGGCTTTTTTGGCAGCTGCAGCACACTGCTGGCTCATATTTAAATGATTGTCCACTAGGATTCCGAGATCCCTCTCACAGTTACTACTATTGAGCAAGGTACCCCTTATTCTATACCTGTACATTTGGTTTTTCTCGCCTAAATGTAGAACCTTACTTTTTTCACCATTGAATTTCATTTTGTTAGATAGCGCCCAGTGTTCATGTCTGTCCAGGTCCTCCTGTATCCTAAGCCTGTCTTCTGGAGTGTTGGCTATTCCTGCCAGCTTGGTGTTGTGTGTTGTGTTGTGATGAGTTCCCCATCTATCTCCTCGTCGAAATCGTTGATGAAGATGTTGAAGAGCACTGGGCCCAGAAGAGAGCCCTGGGGCACCCCACTACACACTTCCCTCCATGTAAATGTGGTTCCATTGAGGACCACACACTGAGTACGGCCGGTCAGCCAGCTATGGATCCATCTGGTGGTGATGCTGTCTAACCTGCATTTTTCTATCTTATCAAGTAGTAGGTTGTGATCTTCCGCAAGCTGCTTAAGACCTGGCTTTTCCGGCAGGCCTGGGGTTTATAAAATCTGACCCCTGGATGACTGTTATTGTATTGTTTGTTTTGTCATGTTATATGGTGTTTTTATTGTTAGCCGCCCGGAGTCCTGCGGGAGTGGGGCGGTTTATAAATTTTAAAAATAAAATAAAAATAAAATAAATCTACTTTGTCAAATGCTTTACTGAAGTCCAAGTAAATTATATCCACAGCATTCCTCTGGTCCACTAATTTTGTCACTTGGTCAAATAATGCAGTAAGATTTGTCTGGCATGATCTGTTTTTGACAAACCCATGTTGGCTTTTAGTAATGACTTTGTTTGCCTGTAGGTGTTTGCTGATTCGTTGTTTGATTATCTTTTCCAGAATCTTCCCAGGTATTGAAGTCAAGCTGATAGGTCTGATGATAAACTGTATATTTCCATATCATAGGAAGTAATAGATCCACTCTGTTCTGCTAAACTGATTTAATCTCAGTTTCTGTGTCCAGTTCTGGGCAACATCTGGGATGTTTTTTGAAAGAGATTAGCAAACTGAATTTATGTTTAGCCTTGAGGAAGAAAAAAACCCAACTGAGAACAGGTGTAATTACACTTCCATATATATGTGCCAGCACTTCTCTGTTATCCCAGAGTGCATGACATGGAATTAACCTACAGAAAGGCATATTATAGAAAAGCTGTTTGACAGTGAAACTAAGGGCTAAGCGATACTGCACAGACATTCACTGGAGACACTTGAGCTTGAATTTATAAGCTGATTGAGGAGTTACACTCAGTCCTAAATGTCAACTTTCTATATTATGATTCTCCAAGATATGCTATGTATGTCATAGTCTTCCACAAGCACAGGTCTGCTCCCAAAGGAGCCACTGATAGAAGGGAGGTCAACAATAGAATATGGAAAGAGGGCAGGAGTAAGATGGAATGGGGGCAGCTGTAAGCTTCTAGTTGTGTTTGTCATCTATACTGTGAATCCATCTGTCCTGACTTTGCATTGTTGATTAACATTGGTGAAAAACTGAGGGGGCAATAGGCAGACTTTCCTCTCTAATTTAAGTTTAAAAATTATGATTGTAATGTTACTTAAAATACTACATTGGAATATGAGACATAAAGACTTGGAGAAAAGAACAATTGCTTTAAAATAGCCTATCTTTCATTAGTATTTTCAACGAACATAAAAAATACAATACTGTAAATTTTATTCTGACATTTCCAAAGTTAAAGGGGGGGAGGGGAATTTCAAATTGGGTATGAAAGTTGAGACAGTTCTATTGGGCAAGACCTGGCTTAAAAACAGTAACTGAGAGAGATCTTGGAAGATCACTTGACTATGAGCCAGCAGTGTGCAGCAGCAATCAAAAAAGCTAATACAATTCTGGATTGTATAAACAGAGGCATAGAATCAAGATCACGTGAAGTATTAGTACTGCTTTATAAAGCCCTAGTAAGATGCTACCTGGAATACTGCAGCCAGTTTTGGTCACCATATCACAAAAAAAGATGTTAAGAATTTGAGCAATTAAGATGATCAAAGGCCTGGAGAGAAGAGAAGAGCAACTAAGAGCAAAGAGAAGAGCAACTAAGATGATCAAAGGCCTGGAGACTAAAACATACAAAGTACAGCTGCAGGACTTGGGTTGGCTAGTCTAAAGAAAAGAAGAAATAGGGGAGACATGATAGCAGTATTCCAGTATTTGAGGGGCTGCCACAAGGAAGAGTGAGTCACTTTGTTCACCAGACCACCAGAGGGAAGGACGACAAACAATGGTTGGAAACTGTTCAAAGAGAGAAGCAACCTGGAATTAAGGAGAAACTTCCTGACAAGACAATCAACCAGTAGAACAGCTTGCCTCCAGAAATCATGGGCACTCCCTCACTGGAGATTTTTAAGAAGAGACTAGACAATCACCTTTCTGAGATGGCATAGGTTCTCCTCCTTGAGTAGGGGGCTGGACTAGAAGACCTCCAAGGTCCCTTCCAGCTCTATTCTGTTCTCAATTCTTTTATTCATATTATGTTTTTCCTCATGACTTTTCAAATGTAAGGATTGTTATTTTTCCTGCCACCTGACAATTTTGAACCTTATATTAAATTCTTATCAATTGTTGCAATATTAAGCAAGCCTACTTGCTTCTTAAATGAAACTCTGAACAGTGAAATCCCTCAAAAATAAAGTACAGAAAATACATAGTGAATTGTCCCCTAACATAATTATGCATACAAACATGCCTGTAGCTTTAGGATAATACCTTGTCAAATACATAAATGAAGTGAAATCCACAATAGGTTATGATGTTTTATTTATATAAATTATACATCTCAGTGGGTGCAAATGTGTTTTCATTCCTTGCTCAGCCAGTACAATTTATAGAATGGAGCCAGAGGACTTTTTAACAGGTATCTGAGCAACATTTTGGAGGCATTTCCTTAAAATCAAGGAGAGGGGATTCCAGAGAATACTAATTGTGGGGAAAATAGGAGGAGGGAGGTGTGTGGGATATGTTCGCCCCCTTGAGTTATTTGTAAAAATAATAAAGGTGGAATACAAACAAGCATAGTTAAACAGGGCAATCTATACTGTAATGAAGTGGGAAGAATACATTGCTTAGGATGCTGTGAGAAGGGTGTCTTTGTGGAATAAGAGTGTCAAACAAATGTTTTGCTTTTTGGCCTTTCTGGACCATTAAGAGGCCCTCAGATGATGGCTAAAGGGAATGCTGAGAAGCATCTGGTGGAGTTACCTCCAATTCATCTGGTCTGGGCAGGGCTGTGGTGTGGTACTGACAAACAAAGCAGCTGATCTGCTGCTGCTCCTCCTCCTCCTGATCAGTCTCTGACAGCTCTACTTTGGGAGGAGGTTAGTCAGACAAGCCTCACTTAAACTCCGATGCAGAAGCTCCATTTCACAGGCATGAGAACTTTCACCATTCTCAGAGAACTCGGCGCTTTTCTCCAGGTGAGCATCAACTCATTTTAAGAAATAGGTATGAAAACCAGCCAGCAGCAGCAGCAGCAGTAGCAGCTCAATGCCCTGTAAGTGTGGGTCTCCCTAAATAGTGACATCTTGATTTCTGAACTTCTTTTAAGAAGTTGGAAATGGCTGGGATTAAATAGTGTACCGATAAATATGCTCTTGACCCTAAAGCATCAAACAGAGCTTCTTTTGAAATAACTCAGCTGGATTTGTGTTCCTTATTTGAACTGAAATGTTGGGCAGCCAAAGTATTGAAATGGATGAATACTGTAAGTGGACAACTTTATCCACACATGCCAAAAGATGGAACTTTATGCATATCTACCTGGACAGATTCCTGTTAAACTGAATGAAGCTTTGAATAGACATTGATGGGAGTATGCTATAAAATCCTTATTTAGAAGAGGAGCTACTTGGGGTTTTATATTCAGAGGCAAACATACATATTCCTAATGCTGCAATCATGGTTTGCGCTCAGAGGAAAGTGGGCCTTTTAAGTGTTACTTTTTGCCTTTTGATTGCTTTGTATTTGATTTCATGTAATTGGAACTTTATTTTGTTCATTTTTTGGTTTTTAAAAATATGCTGCCTTGAATGCTCAGATTGAACAGAATGACAGGATGCTAAGTGACTAAGCAAGTGAGCAAGATGTCTGGTGTGTTAGAATTTCGGAATTCAAGGAAGCTACTTTGGAAAAATGTGCTCAGACCTTTGCCAAACCTTAGGAGAAACATCAGAAGTTGTACAGCTACTGGGCCACATTCCTCAGCATGCCAACCAAAGAGACTGATAGAGCAACAGAAGAAGACACAGTTGGTAGAGCCTTAAGGAAGCCGAAACCTATTTCTCCACTCAATGAAAGATCAAGCATTGTTAGAAAGTCAATTTTGACTTAATAATGAAACTATTCAACAGCAGAACAGATAGTTCCCTGGAGCTATTTAAGCAAAGATGGGAACAGAGTTGCAACGCTTAAATCTGAATTAAGCAAATCATTTGAATCAAGAGATCTCTAAGGCAGAAAAAATATTTTTGCTCATAACAGCAAAGTATAAGTTCAGATATTAATTCCCAGCCAATGTTTTCTGACTATCTGAATTTTCCCTGCCTTAGCCATGAAAGCCAATTGGATGATTTTGGATCAGTCACTCTCCCTCTCTCAGCCCAAGCCACCTCACAAGATTGTTGTTGTTAGGAAAATAGGAGGAAGAGGAATATGTGTTGGATATGTTCATCATTTTATAAGACGATGTATATTTGCAGAAATACAAATATATAAAATGTGTGTCAGTAGTGGATGTTTGTTTTGCCTGAGTTGTAGATATCACTGTAGAACTGGTCCTCCTGCTCAGACAAATTCCTCAGGCAAAAGTTCATTTACTAAACCATTTTTTTGATACGACTCCTTTTTTTACCACAACACCCACGAGGGAGCTGAAGCAGTCATTTGTTTGCAGTTTGTTCCATTGGACTGGAACAAATGTTTGCCAACTCAGTATTATATGCTATATGCTATATATAGTTTTAAGCCATGCCTATCCTTTCAACTTAAAATTTCCCATTGTTTTCAACTCCTAAGAGCTGCTTCAGATGTGACACATTTCCTATAAGAAAAATGCTTGCGTGTAGGAAATAGCGTGGAGATAATGCCAACCTTCTGTGAGTGAATATTTAATGTTTAACCCCTTATGCTAGTAACATTAATATGCATGCCATGGAACAGCAGATTCATAATGATTGCATGGTAATTAAAAGTATGCATACCCTGTTTGTCACCATTTATATCATAAGCAATTAGCATGTTGAGTATAACAGAATCTTTGGTATGGGTACTAAAAAAATCCTGCAATAAATAAACATCCCTTTAGAACTGTACAAAAGACACACATTGGTAGCATACAGGTAGTCCTCGATTTACAACAATTTGCTTAGTGACTGTTCAAAGTTACACAGCACTGAAAAAAGTGACTTACGTCCATTTTTTGCACTTATGACTATTGCAATATACCCATAGTTATGTAATTTACATTTGGATGCTTGACAACTGATTGAGGACGGTTGCAGTGTCCCAGGGTCATGTGATCGCCTTTTGCAACCTTCTGACGAGCAATGGGAAACTAGATTTGCTTAACAAATCTTGTTGCTAATTTAACAACTGCAGTGATTCACTTACTGTAGCAAATATAAAACCCTAGTAAGACCACACGTGGAATACTCAGCCAATTTTGGTCATCATATCACAAAAAAGATGTTGAGAGTTTGGAAAAAAATCAGAGAAGAGCAACTAAGATGATCAAAGGCCTGGAGACTAAAACATATGAAGAATGGCTGCAGGACTTGGGTATGGCTAGTCTAAAGAAAAGAAGAAATAGGGGAGACATGATAGAAGTATTCCAGTATCTGAGGGGCTGCCACAAAGAAGAGGGGGTCACATTATTCACCAAAGCACCAGAGGGCAGGAAAAGAAACAATGGTTGGAAACTGATCAAAGAGAGAAGCAACCTGCAATTAAGGAGAAACTTCCTGACAGTGAGGACAATTAACCAGTGGACTAGCTTGCCCCCAGAAATCGTGGGTGCTCCATCACTGGAGATTTTTAAAAAGAGGCTAGACAGACACTTGTCTGAGATGGTATAGGTTCTCCTGCTTGAGCAGGGACTGGACTAGAAGACCTCCAAGGTCCCTTCCAGCTCTATTCTATTCTAAATGTAGCAAGAAAAGTCGTAAAATGGGACAAAACTCACTTAACAAATTTCTTACTTCGCAACATAAATTTTGGGCTTAATTGTGGTTGTAAGCTGAGGACTACCTATACATGCAGGGACCTTCCAAATTCTTGTTCATTTCACACATACATGCAAACATCCTAACTTACTTCTTTTTTACACATAGCATCCTAGGACAATATAATCCCCTCAAAAATTTGTCTGCTGAGGTCAGTGGCTGACAAACAGCAGTATATGGGAAATCCAAAATACAAGGATTTTTTAATTAATCAGAATCTTATCACTTCAAATGCTGACCATCTAAATGGGATTCTCTGTGAGTGAAGCCAGGATAATTGCCTATAAAATCTCTGTGTAGGTACAAGATCTCTGTAACTTAAACTGAGATGCTCAGAATGCAGACAGAAGGTCTGTTATCATGAAGCAGACAAATCAATTCCTTTACCTATTGAATTTCCTTTCCCCATCTTAAAAAAATTCTGCCTCTCCATTAAAATATTTTAATGAGTTTATCTTCTTTAATATAAGCTACTGCTCAATAGCAATTGTGCCAATATGGATTAAAAATTTGACCAGCTATTTTGGCAGCTTTTTAGTATTTGTTGGTTTTGCTTCCCTAAATAAAATGTTAAATTTCCATAGCTCTGTATCTCACTGCAGATATGGGGGTGCATCTTTGGGTTTGACATTGATGTTTGCACAATTTCTAGTAAATGCAAATGGATTTTCCGTTTACTTTTGCCTGAGCTCTATTAAAGAGCTTTTAAAGGTTAGTCATTTTTGATTAATCATCGATTTTAATTCTCTAAAGAACTAGCTTCCAATGACACAAAACCAACAATCCATTGATGGATATTTTTTATCAATCTAAATATGGTGAAATATTTTCCTGGAAATGCTACATGAGAAAATATGAAACATTAAAAAATGAAGGAGCTGTCCAGCAAGGCAAAGTTTAGCAGCTGTACTTATTCTACTTCCAGGGTTATCACAGTGCTGGTCTTCCGAAGCTTAGGATAGCAAAGTTGTTTCATTAAAATTGGACATAGCTTCAAGGGGATTGAGTATATTAAAGCCCTGTTCTTTAAAAAGCTAAATATTATGTGTACAACAACTGGAAAAGATGCATTCTCTTTCTTCCAGCAAAACATAATTGTGCGTGCATGCTCATGTGATCGGAGTACTTCATACACATTGTGAAGCACATCTTCTGAATACTTAGCAAAGCCCTACCAAATTCCATATCTATATCATCTATATCTATATATCTACAATATATCTGTATATCTATAACCCTCTATATCACAGGTCGGCAACCTGCGGCTCCGGAGCCGCATGCGGCTCTTTGAGCCTTCCCCTGTGGCTCCCAGCCTCCTCTGCCTTTGCAGAGAGAGAGAGAGACAGAGAGAGGCAATTGTGCTTCCCTGCTTCAATCTCTCTCTCTCTCTCTCTCTCTCTCTCTGTGTGTGTTTGTGTTTTGTGTGTGTGTGTGTGTGTGTGTGTGTATGTGTAAAAGAGAGCGTACTCACATGTTCTCCGAGGAGCTGAAAAGCTTACTGGGCGGAGCTCCTCCCTTTGCTGCGTCTCTGCAGGAAGCAGGAAGCAGGAAGGGCAGGAGAGAGCTAGCTAGCCCAGCTAGGCTGACTCAGGAATTCTGGGAGTTGAAGTCCATGAGTCATAAAAGAGACGAGGTTGCCTACCCCTGAGTTGTTGGACAACAGCTTGAAGCTTGCCAGGTGAGCAGCAGATAGGAGAGGGGGGGGAGAAAGAGAGAGAGAGAGAGAGAGAGGGAGGGAGAGAGAGAGAGAGAGAGAGAGAAAGAAAGAGTGGGGGAAGAGGAGTGGTAGACCAAGGGCAGATAGAGAGAGGGAGAGAGAGAGAGAGAGACCCTCTTGACATCTAAAATGAAGATAACACTGCATATATCCTTTTTTTAACCTGTGTGTGTATGTGTGTGTGTGTGTGTGTGTGTGTGTGTGTGTATATATATATACACATACACATACATACATACATATACATACACACACACATACACACACACAAATACCCCCCCACACACAAACACACACACACCTATAATAAAGGTAAAAAAGGATATATGCAGTGTTATCTTCATTTTAGATATCAAAAGGGTTTTGCGGCTCCCAGTGTTTTGTTTTTGGTGGGAAACGGGTCCAAGTGGCTCTTTAAGTGTTTTGGGTTGCCTACCCCTGCTCTATATATTTAGATATGCTATTGTTTATAATTAATTAACAATATTTTAGAAAACTATAATTTTCACATTTTAAAACTTCTGGATTATCCATTTGTATTATATCTTTACATTCTTCTTTCATGTTCTCTCTTGTAATTGTTTATGTTTTTTTCAAGATGTTCAGTTAAAAAAATTGAATTTGGTTGCATTGGCACAAAAATCCAATAAATAAATTTATAGAAAACCTAACAGAAAATAGAACTTAACCCCCTTGGAATTTACTTTTGCTTCCCACTGAAAACAGGAGCTGGAATAGGACCTGGGAGACCCAGTCTGGCCTTAGCCAGGGAAACTCAGTGTATGATTTTGGATCTTCACATTCTTTCAATTCAACCTACTACATAAGGTTGTTGTGAAGAAAAAAAGTAGAAAGAATCCATAGAATATAATGGGCTCCAAAAGAAAAGGCTAGATATAAAGCTAGTACATGAAAGCATTGTTTAGAAAGACATCTGGCAAAATATTGGTAATAATTATTACAGTACTTCTGATGGATCATAATTACTGTTATGAGTAGAGTCTGTTTTCTCCGGATATCTGGGTTTCCTGTTGAGTGATTTAATGGGAAGGAAAAGAGGCACATTGTCAGAAAAAAAAAACGTTTTTTAAAAAAAGAAAATAATTATGTGCAATTTTTGTCTTCATAAGACATGGATCATATCTTTAAGCCATTGTATCTCAAACTTGAAAGAGAATATTTGTGCACTTTTCATGCTAAAATACTGCACTGACCTGACATTTGCAAAGAATGAGAGTAATTGACAGTATTTTAATAATATCAGGAAACTTCCAGATATCTGGCTGAACACTAATTTTGCCCCTAGGGGAAACAGAAGGCTGCAGTTGAGAACCTCTGGTGTGATTTAATAGAATTCTTACACTCTGAGTAAATTTCAGGATTAGTCAATGTAATTGCACACTCTGTTTTTTTCTGAAGCAATATACAGTTTTGAGGTTGTAGAAGGTAGTGACCCTAAAAGTTTAGCAACAAGTATGCACATATCTGCACTCACACTCTTTCACTCTCACACATGCATACATGCACGCGCACACAGACACATAATGCACATAAAGAAATTAGTGAAGATTCCATTACATAAATTTCTATCTCCAAAGATCTAAGCCTTTCAAGGTTTTGCTGAATTTGAAATGTTACACTATATTAAAATATATGTATTATGAGTGAATATCAAAAATGTTTTTGTTCTGGAATCCATCCTTTGGGACAAAGGCACTAAACAGCTATACATTAGAAACTCTTCATTGGTTATTCAAAGTTTTGCAAAAGATGCTGTGATTTGTAACTTGTATGAGCTCATAGGAAAACCAGTCAGAGAAAAGAAAGGGACCTGATGATGTTTTTTTTTAGATAAGACCATATTCAAGACAAGTGGAATCTCAAGATGATTAAGGAAAAGGTTTGAGGGAAGTTCTGTCTGCTGGTTTTTGCATATCTAAGATGCTTCCAAACTCATTGCCATTTCTATGTTGAACATAGCAAAATAGAAATGCTGCACATGGTGGCACATATATTACTTATGTACTGTGTTTAATGCCACAAACTCTAAGACATACATGTCAAACTCACGATGTCACGTGACGTCGCACAACGTATCGGAGCTTTTTTGCCATTGCCGGCAATGGGGTGGGCGCAGCTCCAGTATGATGAAACCGGC